AAAATAGAGATTTTTTAAAATTCGATTTTAAGAATTGCAACATATTAAATTAAACAATTCATAAAAATATTTCATTACTGCAATAAATGTCCAAAATGATTCTAATAAAATATGGCTCAGTTATTAATAAAATATTTACTCAATATCTCATTTTCGATCGTGCAATATTTTTGTCACCCCCCGGTATATCTAATATAAGATAAAAAAGAGCCTTCTTATTATTTTTATTTGCTTTTTCGTTGTGAAGTACTTCAAACCATGAAGTTAATGGATGTGGCGCTTTTCCTCTGGATGTGTCATTATATTCAGAAAGAGTTTTTATAAAAAATCATGTGATTTGGATCCCTTTTATATTCTAACTTTATCCATTTAAGTTTATTCGTGATTTTTATTACATCATCACAATGGACACAATGGAAAAGTGTCCATTGTCCATTGTTATACCAATGGATATGTCCATTGCCAACACTGTTTTTATAAAAAAAATAAAAAAATTTTTATTAATAAAAAATTATGTTTTAAACTATAAAAAGTAAATTATCAATAGCAATTATATTAATATATTATTATTTTTTATTATTAGAAATTTAGTATTAATTTCTTTCCTGACAATTTTCTCCTTTTTATTACAAAGATTCTATATCATTTATAAATAATTAAATACTATTTATAGATTATTTATAAATTTTTAATTTCTGATTAATTTATTTTATATTTAATTATTTGTTAAATAATCAGTTTTTTGTTTTATGAACATTTTTTATTTCTATTTTTTATTTAAAAATTAAAATTTAAAAAAAAATATACTTAAAACGTATCCTCTTTAAATTAAGTGTACGCCAATTTTTTAAGTAAAATGCCAAAAATTTATGAACTTTCAGATTTTGAACGTGGAGAGATTATTGGTCTTCTTATGGCCGGACATGGTGTAAGGAAGATTGCAAAAATACTTGGACAACCAAGAATCATTGTTCAAGATGTAATTACAAAATACAAAGAAGAGAATCGTACTGACTCTGCTCCCCAACCTGGGCCAAGAAAGAATAATATATCAGAATAGTAAACAATCTTTTGAAGAATTACAATCAATTCTTACCAATTCTTGGTAAATAAAAGAAATTTTAATTGAATCTTGCATTGGGAAATTGTGGGAGAAAATCCTTAGATTCTGAAGCAAATTATTAAATGTTTCGGGGTCTTTTTTCACTTTCAACATACCTAACCAACATTTATAAAAATTCATATTAACAGGCTTCAAATCATGCGGATCATTCAGCTTACGTTAAACACAGTCAATTTAACATTTTACTATATCAAAAATTAAAATTTTAAATTTTCAAAGTTGATTATGAAATGTATAAAATAATTGACAATTCAGTTCAATTATATACTATAGATTATATTTCATATAAAGATCGATATTATCATATTAACATATTTCGACTCTTTTCCCGGCTTGATTCTATGAATCTCCAGAATTTTTTTATTTTTTTGCTATTAATTTAAGCAATTTCTTCTACACTCTTAAATAAAATTTAACAAGATTAGACTTACCGATTTATGTAATATCTAATCAAAAACATATCTATTAATATAAGACTTACAATAATTTCATTCACATTTAATTAATATATGTATTATCTAAAGCTATTAAATTAAATTTAATAAAAATTATTCCCATTACACGGGACTAAAACGTGCGGAAATTTGCACAACCGCGTCTTTCGAACTGTTGGCCCTTAGGTAAATTGTTCAAATCATCTCGACAGTAATATTGTAATTCGCAATTTGCAGTTCGATTTACTAAAGTGTATTTAATAAACTTATATATATTAAACATCAACAATAATCTCAGTAATTATTCACCAATGGAAACAATGTTATTATCCGTGTTCCAACCGGATTTTCCTTACAAGATCTTTTTATATCATATAGTTCGGCAGTGTGACTATATGTTATCTATGTGAAATCTTCGCTTTGAAGAATTAAAATCATCAAGCCATGATGGGAAGAATAGTCGAACTCAATTATCAAGAAATCGACTTAATATCATTTTAAATTCGAAATTGCCTTCATGTTTTTTGTTTTATTAAAATATATCGATTAAACGTGATTTCGGAATATGTATACATATAATAAATTTATTCTTTTGCCTTACTACTTTTTTTACTTTTAGCAAGAGTTTGATAAATTAAAATCTGTAAAAATGAAAGCATTACTGAACAATTTATTTTATGATTTTTAGGCATTATAACTCAGAAGAATTGTTTATTGAAAGCCAAAATGCCTCTGATATGGAACTAAACCTATGCTTCCCGTATTGTAGACATTTTGTATTTATGAAACTTATCAGACAAGCACAAACTTGGACATCTGACTGATCATTGTTAATTAAAGAAGTTGAAACTTCTGCTTTTGTTCACCAGCGATAATTAAATACAGTACTTGTTTTATTGGTTCATCTTGATCAACAGGCGCGTATTGTTAATTCGATAATGGCATAGGTTGTATAAATTCCTATATCTTGATGTGTGAATTAAGCGCAAACGATTCAAAAACAACTCATTTCAAGAAATTTTGCAAATCTCAAAGTACAAAATATTTTAATTGACGTGTCTCGACAAAGACTTATATATAATCATTAATATTATAAGTTATAAGACTTCATGTTGAAATTATATTGTGATAATTTGTAAAGAAACGTTTAAATAATAGAATACTTAACAAATATATAAATAATTTAAAACAATCAAAAATCTAATTGAAATAAAGAAATATCTTATAAATGTCTCTCAATTCTAAATTTAGGGCTAACCCAAACTTCATAATCTTTCTCGTTGTTAATATCACCAAACATTTTCAATGCTCTAACCCTATTAAAATATTTTTCGTTGGAAACGGGTTCGGAATGAATAAGTCCATCCCATGAAATTATTCTTGGTTCTCCTAATATGTATTTTTGAAAAAGGAAAATATTTTTTACCATTTCCCATTGATCCTAAAAGATGATGATTACCATCAAGTATCTCAGTAAAAACCGCTTGTGTTGGAGTTGCAAAATTAAGATGTATAAATGGATAATCACGTAATCCACTTGTAATGTTAAGGAGTTTAAAGGTAAATCTTTTAATTGGATCCTTCTTTTGTATATATTTCTTCGAATCGTAAAGTGCAGGAAATTTAGGTGTCTGAAATAATGAAAGCGATCTTGCATCATCGGCTAACCCAGCTATATAAATAAAAAGTTGTAAGGAATTATTAATGGAGAATAAAATATTAAGTAATTACAAAATGGTGATTATCATGTAAAGAAATTTATTTACCATAGGGAACGGTTAATTTAGGCTTGTTCTCATCTAAAAGAATTATCTCTAACCAACCACTATAAGAATAATGTTTATCCTTTGGTAGATCTTTTGGTAACGTAAAAGTTACAGAAACGTCAACACTTGAACCAGGTGGTACAGTAATCTGATCATTATCAAATTTAACACTAGCATACTGTCGTGTATAAATACTCAAACTGATAATAATTTCTTATGAAAGTTTTATTATATCCATTGACACTCGGAGCTGTTAAATGTGATAATTTATATTTCATCTCTTTTCTGTCAACATTATAAATAGTTAATTTGCGATTTCCATTAAATGAACCGTGTCATTCAAATTAATTTTTGGCGGATAGGCAAAGCTGGTTGCTGTCAACATATTATAAGCATCGACGAGACCTGCACCTTGACGAAGTACCGAAGCCAATAATTTATTACGTTCCTCACGAGGAATATCATAATTCATTAATGCAGTTTTTAGTTGTTCGGAAAACTGTTGTTGATTTTGCTTTCTAAATTCTCCAAATAATGCCGCTACGCCTGCTATATATGGCGATGACATACTTGTTCCAGACAGTATTCTATAAGTCGAATTATTAACAGGAAAAGCCGAAAATATTAAACCTCCAGGTCCACAAATTTCAGGCTATTGAAGAATTTTTAAAAAGTAAAGTTTACGCATGTTAAAGGATATTTCTTTTTTTTACTTTAGTCGATAAATTACTTACCTTGATATCTAACTCCTCAGTTAAACCCCATCCCGAAATTAAAGAAGGAGTTTCGGCAAATGGATGAGGTTTCATATATCCATGCTTATCGGAAAAATCTAATTCCAAATTAGGATTTTTTTCGAGATATTTAATCAACATATCGGCTTCTTTTGTATTAATTACCGCCTTGGGTGGCGCTGGCAAAATTCCTTCATTAAATTTATTACTGATTGAAATTATCCCAAGAGCTTCGTCTATAATTAAATTATTTAAATTTATCTTCGAATGAAATATTAAAAAAAAAAAAAATTAAATAAAGTATTTTAAATGAATTAACTTACAGCATCAATATCTTGTGAACATTTGTTTTCAACTCTGTTGTCTTGGATTATTATTGTATTTATAAAATCTTTGATTTTTTGGAAGCAATTTAATCTTAGCTTTTTGAAAAGGAAATGCTGATACATCTTGTGTCATGTAATCTATGTAAATAATTATAAAAAATTTGGTTCAATATTTTATTTTTTTATATATGGAATTTGCAAATTTAGATAAATTTATATATATTTACTAATAACAAACTTTGGATTCTTCGGATCAAAGGCTTTATAATTTATAACTTCATTTGTTTCAAATGAACAAACTCAAATAACTTGTTGAGCATTAGCTGGCATTCCAATAGTAAATAAGCCGTTTATATCACCTACATTGCCTATTGCTGCTACGAATATTGTTCCTTTATATTTGACCAAATCATTGATCAACATTACCATAAAGTTTTTCTTGTTTTCGAACCATCCCTGTAAAATTTAAAGTTAATGCAATGTTTTATTTTAAATAAATAAATAAATAAATAAATTCATTTACTTACGAGTGACATATTTATGACGTCCTTTCCATCATCAACAGCCTTCAGAATAGCTTTCATTACCGTAATACCGGTAGGTTCATCTTTCATATCTTTACAAGGAAATACTTTATATGCTCCAAAAATAACATCAGGTGCTACTCCCACAAATCCAGGACCGTTACCTCTTAGATCACCTCCAACAATTGCTGCTACATGAGTTCCATGTCCAACACAATCGTATGGATCATCATTATCATCAATAAAGTTATACCCAAATGCTACTCTACATCCTGGATATGAAATGACAAAGAACCAAAGTTTCGTGATTTATTAAAAATAAAACAACTTAAATACCTGTATCAATGATTCCGACTTTAACGCCTTTTCAATTCTTCGTGAACTCTTTTAACGCCAGTCATTTCATGAACAAAATTGACGTTATCAGGTAAGTTCGTATAATCGTTGGCACGTTGATTCAATTTTTTTTCATTTAAATTATTCGTTTATAAATTTTCTAAAAGTGAAGTTGTAAATGAATATCAGTATACTGCGCCAAATGGGAATCTCCCGCCACGAATTTCTTACCACAACATCAACACTTTCAACGTGCTCAATTTCAGCAATTCATTTTACATGACGTTCATCGGTCTCGATGCTAATTCCGTTAGCATATCGTTTGGATACATAATTTTAATATTGATCCCAAGTTTATTTAGCTCTATGTGAAAATTGGCATGCTGGGCATCAATATGCAACAGATGAATCAAACGGCGAAGAGGTGAATTTAACATAATAATGATTTGCGCGAGTTTCATGCAATATTGCCCTAGCAAAAGTCCAATTGAAAAGAAGTAGAAGAATAGTTAAACAGACAATAGGAAATTTTTGTATGTTGTTTCTCATCGTAATAGGTAAAAAGTTGGACTTTATTTTTTTTTGTTCTAAACGACCCGTATCTTATATATTATTTTTTTTTACGTGTAACCATCCATGAGGACATAAAAAAGCAGTGGCAATGGCATTAGCGATTACCCTTTAAATATGATAATTTCATTTTATAGATGCAAATATTTTATTTTTATGAAATTTCTTAATTAGAACTTACACAGGGAAGTTGACAATGTTCTATTCAGCTTTCAAATTTTAAAATAATCATTCCCTATTTTTAGCATAATTATTAATAAGTTTTATTTTTACATAAGTTGCTGTAGCTTTTTACTTTATAACATGAGATTTATTGTTGATCTTTAAAACTAGTATCATATGTTGTTTTGTTTGTTCTGGTTAGTCTATAATAAAAAACCGATTTTATTTTATTAGAAATTTGAGATTTATAAATCACGTGATAATAAAAATGATTTTTTTTAAAAGTTCGCCTTATATTTTATATTATTACGCGAATTAAAAGAATAATAGATAACCGGATCAGCAACACCGCTTATCTTGATTCTCTCTGTCTCTGACTGATATCTTAATTTACGCCGCTTTTTGTTGAATTGCTTCATCTTGCGAACGCAATTACCTTTTAGGATACTTTATATTCCCGCTTTTAGGTATGTCTATTATTAGTTCAACGTACATCTTTATTATTTGGTTGTCCCTATAACAAATAGTCTTAATTAAAAAAAAAAAATATAGAAGGAAATTTATTTGTGGCGCATTTAGTAGTTACTAATTTCGAGACAAACAACCTTCGATGATTGTAAAGTCAATATTAAATAAAAATATTTTAAACTCCCCTCATACACGTAATTTTATATGCTAAATGTGACATCATAGTTTTTAACTAACGCCTAACGCCACAGCAGATTATTTATATAAACTTACAAAAGAAATTTTTATTTTCTATACGCGTTGTTTTTTTATTACGATTCTTGCTATAAATCTAAAAATCTTCACCATTACCTCCTAAAGTAAGCAAGTTTCACATCCAAATTTGGAAAAATTAAAAGAATATCATTTGCTTCAATAAAGAAGGGTGAATGAACTACAAACGCGGACTAGGCTTTACCGACCGGTTGACTGACCGACCGTTATTATCCGATCGAAGTAAATTTCGCCTAAAGGCCTACAAGATTATGAAAACTTGCGAACAAAAATTAAAGCTGTAACAGCTCTTAAATCTACTAACGTAGCCATCAATTTCTGGTATATCTATTATACCAATACCGATTATAATGAAATTGCGTCCAAAGAACTTGGTTTGAATGGTAATCTTTCACTTTAATTTTAATAAGTGACAATTCCCAATAAATCTTGATTTATTTCCTACTTAAAAGAACCGATCATATCGCGGGTTTTGATATATGTTTCTTTACTTTTAGATGAATGAATCGACCTCAACAGATACTGAGTTTTCAATTTCTTAAGGAAACGAAAAACTTAATACTTTGCATCACTAAAAGAAAAGAACCAGGTTTTTTTTTATTTTGCGAGGGTAGATTTGGGAGAATTACTGGATTTTGACAAAAGTACACACAGGTGTTCTTAATAGATTGTTATTTCACCGACTTGAAAGAAATCATGTTATGGTATTGATTTCGGACATATTGTTCATGGTAGGGTCACCATAAACACTTCATGAACAGTCCAAATAACCTTACCATTTAAGGACCGCTTGGATTGTCCGCGGTCTAATAATTTTAAACATTTAGCAAAATAGCTTTAAATTATCATCCCCTTCACTATAGGAAAGGGTTAAATGACGCCATTATGCATTAATAAATATTGCATTAAATTTTTTATTGCAAAGAATCAAGTAAGTTCTTTGGTGGTTGGCGAGATATTCAAATGCGATTCAGCGCCCTAACATTTTTGTTAATAAGGATCTGCTGATACAAACGAACTCTTGAAACAAAAAAAGATTTCGAAATACTTGCTGGTCACATCTATGTTAATGTCATCATAAGTTGCCACGTAAGATTTAGTACGGTATGTAAATTTTCGCTACCCTCGTATTATTTACTCAACACGTCAGTTCTAAGTCTGGAAGAAGCGTTATCGTGTATTCCACGTCACCCATCACATATTCTCCGGAGAGTAATAAATCGAAGACTACTAAAAGGGTCATTGGTAACCCGCCGACAAGAGTGTGCTTCTTTGGGAAGACTTTTCGAGAAAGCAAATCGTTTCTCGCTTCGACCAACTAGGGATTGGAACCTAAATAGATTTAATTTAAATAAAATAAATTAAAAAAAAAAAATCGCGGTTATTCGCAATTTTTTTTGTTAGATATAATTAATTAAAAATAAATTAATAAAATAAAAGAATTCAATAAAATATCAGAAAATAAAAAAAAAAATTAACAAAAAATAAACATAATTAAAAAACAATAAATTAAAATCGCGGTATAAATATTTATATATTAAAAATTAAAAAAAAATAATAAAAAATAAAAAAATTTAAAAAAAAAATTAAATTTATCAATTAAATAATAATATAATGATAATTTGTTTATTTAAATTTTGGACATGAATATTTGTCAAAAAATTTTGCATTCTTTAATTTATTTTATAACTAAACATCTAATTCAATTTCCACTCCATATAGTAAGAACAATTTTTAATAATTGTGATGCGCCATATGCTGTGCATTATATGTTATTTTAAGTCCAAAAATCGATTTCGATTAATTCGATTTTATTAGAATCGATTCCAATCCTTACGACCAACAACCGGGATTCGAAAGACCATTAAATTTAAGATATTACAAAATTGTGTTACTTTTCTTTTTTTCAAAATATAGTTATGTGAATAATGAGATCATGTCATCAAGGTGTTGGGTGTCGGTCAAATGAACCAATCCCTATTATTTTAATAATATTACTAAGGCATTCGTTTGTAATTATTGAAATTACATTTATTTTGCCAAATTATTGGAATCCGTTGATATCAAGTTCGATATGTCATAATTTAATTACAGATGAAACGAATTTTGCACTATCAAGAAAAATTAACATGATGGATTTGATGATTGTAAAACAATTAATTTTCAATAAAATTTAATATTTTCAAAATATATATATGTCGTTACTAATGCATTTTTCAAAACTTAACTTTTTAATAAATGTAATGACTTAATTAATATAATGAATCTTCAAAAGAACCCATTAAATAATTTTGATTCAACACAAAGATTTATTAATTTCACGTGATATATATTAAATAATATACATATATATAAATCGAAATAATAAAAAATTAATCAAATTATAAATCTCTTCGTTTTGAAAATCATCTCCTTGAGCGCTACATGATGCTTTTCTTGCCCTGGTAGAGAAGTGTATTCTGCATCAGTATGACACCTTGGAGTTCGCGTGACTTTTTTTTTAAAAATAAACCTTACCGTTACATCATTTATTGGTATTTCATATTCCGAAAATTAATAAGAATTTCAAATATAAATCTACAAGACGCATTTTGATATTATTTTAGAAAAAATTACAGATTTTTGTACTTTAGGATCATTTGTTTGCATCGAGTTTTTGATAATTGATCTATGTTCTAAAATAGATTGACGGCATTGTTGTTATTCCCCCTTTTTAATTTACGATATAACTACTAAATGATATTTGAATATCTTAAGGATTTAATCGCGCACCTAAAGTACATTTAAAAGCAATAGAAATCTAAAATAACGTTAGCAAAGATCGTGCCGAGTCATTTCCTTAAAGCGCCCTGGATTCGAGTTTTATGTTGCAACATTTCGAGGCAGTATGTTCTCGTTGCCAAACATTAACATGTTATTTAAAGGAAAACCAGGGGGCTTGCTAATAGCATATGTAAAAAAAAATACCTTTCCACTGAGGACATTGTTCCTATAAGCATTCTGGCATTTTATGCGACGACTTTACATTCGTAACGCTTCGAGGTAGAATGTTCAAAATTTAAATGTCAGCTCACTCAATCTTTGAACAACGACAAAAAAAAAAAAAAAAAATTTAGGGGTTTTATATGACAAATGACAGATTTTGCTGTCGATCACCGTTTCCAGTTTAAAGCAGGATCATCAGCCAATTTTAACCAATAGTTATTTATTCTTCTGCAGGATTTCCCACGGTCTTGACAGCACTATAAATATTTTCAAATCTTCATTTTCTACCTTTTTTAAAAAAATGCTTTCTTCCTTCAGCAGGGTAAATTATAACGCAGCCGATATTTTTTATCAACGCTGATAAAACCTTCGCAACCAGCAAGAAGCAGCTCGTCAACAACGTCTCGATAGCTTATACTGGAACAGCTTCAGCAGAGGAGCTGGAAGTATGGCTTTCCATTTTATGCTCAACTTCATGAATAATCTACTATTAATATTTTTCTTAGGGAGGGATGTCGTAGGCATTTTTGCTTGTTCTTGTGACTACGCTCTCTCTCTTTCTATTTCTGTAGCTTGATAAATATTAATGTATAATAAAAATAAATACTAACTAAAATTAGAAAGGACTAGATTTAAAATCAGTCTGAACATTTTTTTGTATTAAAAAAAATATACATATTCCGGACATAAATTTTAATACATTTTCTGTATTAGAAAAATAGATGCATAATTTTAATACAAATTCCAAAAATATTCAGTATTAGAAAAAAGATTAAATGTACATATTCCGGATGTTTCTAAATGTTTGAATAAGCCTGAACAGCAAGCTTGATTATTTTTTAGGACAAATAATGAGTTATTTTCCGGACATTCTCTGATATATCCAGATAAATTCTGAACATATTCGTAAATATTTTCTGGACATTTCTTTTTTTATAGGGCTAGTGCTTTTGCGATATTCTGAAATCTCCCATAATTGTCTTTAATCATAAAAACACTTAAATACATGTTATATTTATTTGTTTTGCAGGTATTGTCATCTAAAACTACATCTGAAAATTGTTGATATAACTTTTATTGAACTGAACAGAGAACATTCAAAAAATATCAGATAAATGATGCTCACTACTGGCATATTGAATGTAAATTTTCTAACTCGGATCTTGTGACATTTTTTCAAAAAGAATGTCAAGTATCAAAGCAAAGTAGTATCAAGCCCATCTTTGTTACTTTGATACAATTTATAAATTGCATTATAAACATCCTGCTTATGAAATATATACTCTGGATACTTTCTTTTAAGTATCTTTAACTGCGTAATAGGCGCTACTTTGCAGTCCATAAAAAATTTAAATCCTGAATCATTTCTTTACTAAAACGTTTATACCTAGCAAAAACACCCAATACTTGGGCGGAATTTGTTTCATGATTGTGTATGCCTATTAACGAAGTACATTTTACTTGATTTGTAGTCTTCAAAAATGTAAAATTGCAGTGCTATTCGCAATTTGTTTTGATGGTACCACATAGATAGTATGTTGTATACATTTCGAGCTTTATATAAACCACTTGATAAACATCGAATTGATTTACGACAGATGATAGTGTGATCTTTCAGGTCCTTATCATTACGAAAAATTTGATAATCAATACCTTGTTCTAAGCAGTATTGATGCATAAATGTATTGACTGATAATCAATCATCAAAACAGTCACCTACAACGAGGTAATATTGATAGGGTAATTCAGAATTGGGGATATCAGAATCGGGTATATCATTAAATGGTTCAAAATGTTGTATATCATTCACATTACTGTTAAAAGGTAGCGGCTCAGATTCTGGCGAAAGCTTATATCATTATTAAGAAGATTATTATATAGCGAAACATAATCAAAGTTTTTATCAAAGACATCAAAAGTATCAGAATAAAAGGTGTCATATAAAGCATTATTATAACCGTTAGAAGAACCAATAAAAGAAAGTGTATTTTGTTCCATATTTTTTTGAAGTGGTACTTATATTTCCAAATAAAACGCTAAATAATTTCATTAACAAATAATAATGTAATATCAGGCGTTTGTGTAAAACGGTAGAATTCACCTCCGGTGTAAAATTTATTTTTAAATTTTAAATTTCTAGTGCAGATCGCGATACAAATCACCAGGTGAATTTTTACTGGAGGTGAATGTAAAATGAATCCTAAAAAAAATTATAAATTAAAAGAATAAAAAAGGAAAAAAAAGAACGGGGGAGGAGAGACTAATAAAAAAATATAAAAAAAAAAAACATGAAAAATTATAAAAAAAGGAACGGGGGAGACGAATAAAAAAAAATTTAAAATTAAAAGCAATTTTTCTTTTAATAGATATTACTAATGAACGCTTACTTCATAATTCAGTTATCCATTTCAGATCGTCTGTTTAGAAAAAGAGAGATGCTCGCCCGATGTTTATGCAGTAATTACACATTTAGCCATTAATCTTCAACAAGCAATTGATTAAATTTTGTCATTATCACAGTTTTTTATTTTCAAAATAATTCATAAATTTTACAGAGACGTAATAATTTGTGTATTCTATTACTCCTAAAATTATATCATTAATGTACTAGCAAATACGTATTTTATTATGAATATTATACTTTTTCGGTCTTTCCTAGTCTGCAGAAAATGTTTTCATCTCTTGAGTTTGGCAAATTGCAGTAAATCAAATATGTGAATAATTTGCTATCCATGTAGTACCATAATTGTGAATACTTGTCCATCACTAGGTAATATCTTATCTCTATGATCCTTATTACATCTGCTCATTCTTGAAATTTTAGAGCCTTTCTCGTTTATAAAAGAGTATATAAACTATCTTTTGTCTCTTTTAAATGACTTTGAAGTCTACCAAAATGAATTAAATCCTCCAAATGTTTATACTGAATCCTTGATTTTTTTAAAGCCCATCCCTTTGTTATCATGAAATTTTTTAACATCAGATCCATCCCTACTGGTACTATAGAGTAAACTGAAATAACTTCTTAACAGTCCAACTTGCAAGTATGTTGAAATGCCGAGAATCAATTATACTTGAATATTGAATTCTAGGTGGTCGTGTATCATTAACACTTTTGCTTCTGGATTCATATGGAATTCTAAATTTCGTAATTACTTGTTTTGATAACAATCTTCTATAAGGTAAAACTTTAAAAAAAAATCATTCGAAGATATGTGATAAAATCTGATCAAAGGAATAAATCTACTGGTAGTTTCCTTCATTGCCTTATCATTCTTCCATTCCATTTGTTGTGCAAGGCACCATCATTTTATCCCATATCATGACCTCTTCCATGTAAAGTTTATCATTCTTCAATAGCATTTTCATCATAGGTGCTACAAAACTCACAAATTGATCAACCAAACCTAAAATTTGCCTCGCTAAATATAAAGATTCTGGTTATAATTCATATTTGGGACTTTCATATTCTTTCGGATTGAAATAATATTGAAGGACTTTCACAAACTGCATCAAGGTATGGATGCAAATGATCTATCTAATTGAGTTAATTAAAGGATTCCTATAGGATTTTGATGTAGAATTTTACAGAGGGTCTCCAAAAGTTTACGCACACTTTATTCGTACGAATTTTCTCAAAATTTTATTAAGCAATTAAGAAATTTACAAATAATAAATAATGTTCCTAGACTATTAA